AGTTGATGCATTTTCCACATCTTGCACTTTAGGTGCTATGGAGGTTTGAAGTATAATTAATCTTGTTTCTTTAATTATTATAAGTAAAATGTAGAAATCTTAACAAATTTTAGCAAAGCTAAATACAATAAATTAAACTGGCAAAATTTCATCACAAGCTTCTCTAAACTTTGGTGCATTTTTACTGCTCCATACCTGCTTAACATTACAGCTTTAGAGCTATTTTTAAGCTTGCATTTACATAATGCATCCATTTTTAATTCCATGCTTGTCTCTTCTCGATTTCGCTTGTATTTATTACTTTTTTATCTGCTTACCTCTACAAATACTAGAATACAGGAATACGGTTATTAATACACCACATCGGAGCAAACGTGGATCCAGAGCATGCCAGGAATGCAAAAGGGTAGCGTCTGTTGACAAATTTAAATGAACAAAACTGCCCTCTATAAAACATTTGACAAATGCATGCATGTGCGAGCGTTTGATAAGTTTCGTGAGAAATCAGGTAAAAATACCACATTTGGCAAAAATATAAAAATTACACATTGAGGAATTTACGCAGGAAGGCATACTACTAACATCATGTAAAACAAGCGAACTTCTAAATGTAGTGGTTAAAAGTTAATGCCAAGGCTCTGGAAGGTAAAATGATGTTGTTTATGGGGCATTCGACTCATGTCCTAAAATAAAAGGATCGTTTTTTGACTAGATGTATTTGGTAGTTTAAGCATTCGTTTCAGAGGACATTTCACTTATCTAGTGCGTATCAAAGAGTGGGATCTCTAAAATGAAATGAATTAAATATAATCTGAATCATCAGTGCCTGAAGGCCACAAATAATCTACACTATAGGGGTAGAGCCTTTTTCACATTCATTTTCAATAAGCTAAGACCAAAATAAGCACACGCATTTCGCAAAATGAAGTGATGTGGGTCTGCACTGTGAGAGTAGCCTTGTATCTAAGATTGTAACACAACACTGACGCATTTTATTTTTGCTTCGGCTTCCACTGTAAACAAGTAAATGAATCAGTTTTGAACTTTTACTATCAGACATGTGAATGAAAAAAAGGAAACTCGTGCATTTGCTTATGCTAGCTTGGTAAAAATGGGAACTAATTGCAGCATTATGCGTCCAATTTCTATTTGTATACACAGCCGCGTCTCCAGGACTTCAGTATCAGGATTAATTTTTGTCCTTAAGATTATGCAATCATATCTGCATAACAACAGTCAAATTCATGATACAACTCCCATATGGTTACTTCTTCACTGAACAAAATTCATAAACGAATAATGGACATTCTTAGGGGGAACCTCTATACTTGGATTTTGAGATCACCGACAAAAGCTTCACCTCTATAGTGGAGCATAACAAGGTACGCACCTTGTCAAAGTGTTTACAAATAGTTCCAGTCACATGGCTCCTCAACACACCCACTAGTTTTGCTTACCAAGAAATGGATTCGATGGACAAACGTTTAGGATGAAAATTTGAGGCGCACACAACGCAATCATAGTCGAAACCGTAAAGATAACAAATCTCATGCTGCATGAATGCCACCTAACTTGTAGATGTAATTGGGAGAAGATAATCAAATTTCGTGAAACAAGCCAGAAGTTTGGAACAACATATTTGATTAATGAAATCTGCATAATGCATTTTCATGATATATGGGGAAGCATAAATTGGGTTATAATCCATTATTTGTCTTTAAACAGTTAATTTAGCAATTCTTATACGCTTACAAGAAAGCAATTATAACTTTTACCAAATAAACATATAATAACGAGTTTAATATATAATCACAAGTAAACAAAAGCCTAAACTTTTTATTCTCCACACTCATATTTCAAATGAAAACTATTATCAAAGTTTTCATTTACACAAATTAGAAAATGCATCTCATTCGAAAGAAACGGCGTTGATGCACCTTTGAATATGTTCCATTGCAGTGGAATGAAGATGGATTACACGTGCTTGCTTGGCACAGATATTTATTTTCATTTTCTCTTGCCACGTCCACACTGCCGTTGGGTAACTTTTGTGCCGATCCTACATGGGGTGTGCGAGGTGATAAAAGCAAATGAATGCAATCATTAGGCTGGAATTAGTGACCAGTTAGTAAATCCCATTTAAAGCTCAAAACAATCGTTTTCTGAGTGAAGTTGATGGATTCGAAATATTGTTTTGTTGTGTCGGGAATAAACAAACCACTCTTCTATTCTTGCCTTGACTTCTTTACAGTTATTAGCAGAAGTACATCTTGAAACGCCCTACTTATGCAGTTCAGAGGTATTTCCTTGAAACCGTAATCCCTACTTTGCCCTAGCCAAATTCGCTTGGCATCAATCTACGTATGAGTGTCTTAGTAGGCAACCGTTTACAGGACAGTTTCATTCGCTTATTCAGCTATTATTTTTTGCCTTCCCGAATTGTGCAGAAGGTAGAAATAAAATCAATTTCTAAAAGTAACCCCTTCGTGCAGACAATACAGTGAGATCTAATAAAAAAACTTCCTCAAAAGTTGATTTAGACTTGAAATTGATTTCAAAGTTATCTCAATCTCTGGAGTGATTAAGAGTATTTTTGCCCCGACTAAAATTTCATATGAAACGTCTTAGCTATTGCTTTAATTCCTATCCCATAGTTAAAGTGATTCACACATTCACCCACTTAAAACTAGGAATATCGAAACGTTGGAATAACAAAAATGATACGTTTATAAATAAGCCTGTACGATCTTTAATTGCCCTCTTATTCTCAATCTGTAAGAATTCCACTTAATATGCGATTAATTATTTCTACTAGAGAACAAATTTTAGGCAGGATTTCTATCGGCTTCTTTTCTTTTCCTCTACTTGAATAGTATAGCCTTTTGCTAGCGCTGAAATTGTAATATAAAGGATTCCATAAATTGAATGTATTTTTAGGCCTGTATTCCTAAAATTATGGACGTGAAAACATGTTGAACTTGGACTTCTAGAAATATCGAATGCATATAATTTTCTTCTCCAATGCATTGTACATCCTCATGTATTCAAGAGTGATGATAAATGCCTTGTCACTGTTCTCTATCTTATAATGGACTCTTATTTTTTCATTCACTGAATAAATAATAAGTCTCGTCTGCACAATTAGCTACTTGGATTTTCATCTTAATTTTTATGCCGATTGGCCTAACATTGTAAGCCCTACTGAAAGTTGCTAATCACACTAACACAAACTGCTTACTACTAAATGTCTAACGATATGGGGAGCGCAAGTAAGATATCATGGCGCAGTGCCAGCACAACCCACCTCGTGAAGGCTAGTGATGCGTAAAACGCGTGTGTGTGCTTCACAGTTATCGCCGTTACTGATGGGGTACAAAACTATGATACTTCAGAGTCGACACCCAAACTTGTGTGCTTTAATTTTTTTGCTGTACTTTACTAAATGGTACATTTCAGTAATATGCAAACACTTATTTATGGTCTCAACACCCTCTAGTTATGACCGCATGTATTAGCACATCAGACACCTGTCGACGATACTATACACCCATAGTAGGCTGTGGGAATAATGTTTGATAGCGTTCACCTTTTCTGTATAATTATTCTGCAAATGAAAATATCTTAAGAAGAAGTTTTTAACTTTATGACTTGGAGCTACCGAAGTTATACTTCCTGCCCAATCTAGCATGCCAATGCTAAATAACCCATCACTAAGTTAGGTTGCAGAATTAATTAGTAACTTCATGTTTGGACTCCCGGATTAATGTTTAAAAAGTTCCATGATTGCAGATTACTAACAAATACAATATTTGTCGAATCAACTTTTGGCTAGAAATATATCAGAAAGACGCAAAAAAATCCCTTCTTCCCTAAGTTGGTGCGCCAAGTGCTATTTATGCTTAAAAACTTTGAATAGTGGATATTTTATACATGCAAAAAGTCTTGAAACTTTACATTTAAACCACCACATTATTTTTACCACACTATGCTAAAAAAAATGTCCATTTGCATTTAAAAAAAAAGGTTGAGAGGTTATTACCTATCCTACTGCTAGGGATTTCTTCTATTTAGCTAAAACTCCATGTATATCTGAAATTTTACATTGAAACTTCAGTTTGCATAGCTCGTTGTGATAAAAATGGAGTTCACTCATCCCCTCACATTTCGCATCTGTTACAATAGGATTTCCTGTTAACGGCCACAGCAAATACATAAATGGCAAAAGCAATTAGTGTAATTTCATTTCACAATTCTTCTGACAATTTACTTAACCAATTCACCATCTTGATTCCGAAATTAGACACATTTGCCACCACTCCTTTCTGTGTACAAAGCTGAAAATGTTTCCTGCGCATGTCTTCTTACGAGTATTTCTCTTCTAATTATTTTGACAATATCCGTCAACCATAGTTACATATTTGTAAAAGTAAATATTGCGTTCGCAAACTACGGAATCACATGAATGATTGGATGAGGAGAACCTTCCGTAACACTTATGTTGCTTAAACCGACCTTTGAGGGAAGAAGCGGGCGGTCGACTCGAACCTGGTGACTGACAAGTGGTCAACATCCCCCAACCCAGAGAAGAGTTCTGTGTCCAGATCTCCCTAGACTTCTATCTGTCCTCGTTTATGCTAAGCAATAAATATGTCTAAATCCAACCAACCTTCAATTTCACCTTTATCCGTCTTTTTAATATTCTTACTAGTGGGTAAGAACTGTTGGCATTAACTACTCCCTAATTATTGCATTGTTTTAAAATGCCATAATCAGGTATGCGCACGCCTTCATCGGGGTGAGGTTCAATCAACTGAACGCGTAGATAAACGCTAAAAGAGGTACAGGAAGCACCTGATCATTGAGAACTCTCATTTTACCGTATGAAGATGGGCCTTATCTAATAATGTCTCTTGACAAAAAATGTGCCTTAAAAGTGGTTTATCAGAACAAATGAGATATTTCTTACTTTTCAAGCTGGAAAATATGGTGTGAATAACCTGTCAAATGACCAGAACCTTGTAGTTCCGTTTTTCCTTCGAGCATAAGCACTCCTCCTCATTTGGAAAGGCGCTGATTTTAGCAGTTGTATTGACACATTCTTTCAAAAGCTTTTAATATCTAAAAAGGCAGTACAATAGGAAAAATCCTGATTTCGATTTATGGTTTCTCTAAGACAACCCTCACCTTGCCGATCTTATTACTATTTAAGGCTAAGCAAGTACGTTGCATTAAAAATACATTAATCTTATGGAATTTATTTCAATGCACCTCAACTTTTAAGGTTATGTGTTCAGTGCAGACTACAAATGGAGGATGAAATTTCCGCAACGCCAAGGCATAGGTGTAGGTGCACTGATAGTATCGGGGCTTTTGCATACAAAATCTTCGAAGTAAGGGTGGAACTTAAGAGAAAAGCGTAGAGTCGGACGCTCATTTTTACATTGCATTTTCCAGTACGAAAATTCCCAGGTTTGAATTCAAAATAAGCTGGTAGTAAATATGTTCCCAATAGCATTGCTAGATAGATCCTCTTAGGTCCAGTCACTAATTACATAAACAGTTCATTTACAGCTACGATGGAGTGCGGCTTTGTGGAAACTGGCAAGCACCTTTAAGTAGCTCTTAAAACCACCGACACAGAACTAGTACAGCCCCAAGTCTTCTTACTCACCTACAAGACTAGATGTGGTTTCATTTCACTTAAGTTAGTGCCAATCACGCTTTTTTTAACAGTCAAAAACGCCTAGCTTCATCTACTAAAAAAAACTTGACCATTTCTCTTAGCTTCATAACTCGTTTTACTGAGTAAAATAAGGTGCAATCTTAGTCCGGACTTATCGGTCTTAAATGAGTAAATAGTAACATTCTGTAAGTTTCTGCAGAAATAATCTCACGTACGAACGACTGAGCACGTGACCAGGAACTAGAAAACTTTCACTTTCGCATACGCATACATCTGCGTTGATGCCAGGATATTTTGACAACAGTCACACTTTAACCAAAATGCATACTGTTGAAGAATGCAGATGATGAGTCTAGTTCTTGCCTTTAAATCTCATTCTTTTCTTTCGCTACACCATATTTCATAAAGTGCTCGTATTTTAATGAGTTCGAAGTTTCAGGGGATCGGGTTGCCTACATCGCATTCGTTCAGCCCAATTTCTTACAAATGCAACTTTATTTTTCGTCAAAAAAATGATTAAAAACTCTTGATAACCACTAGTTAATTAAAATTTAAAGGAAGAGTAAGTTGTCTGAAAGACGGCATTTGAGAACAAGACGTTGATACCCTCAATTAGGAAGCGCTTGAATTTTCCGGCTCTGTGATTGGATTGTCTTCAATACCATATTTTACGAGCAATTGTTGAACCGGCTCCATTACATTTCTGTATTGAGTTACAAACTCCTTCATTGCGTCTAAAACCTATAGGAGCAAGTTTCATTGCATTTTACATATTACATCTATTAACTGTTTAAAATAGTTGTAAGGTATATATTCCTGTCGAAGCTAAAATCATCTATGTATCATTATTACTATACGAACGCCATTCACCTGTATAAGTTAATCAGCAAACTGTTGTTGCACAACAAGACTTTTGATCGCAATCTACTGCTGTCGTGTGAACGTGCTATCGGAATCAAATACCGTATATGGAGCCTGTATACATTGCGTATGAATAAGAAACTCATAAAACTGATGCCGTTTAAATAACCTAAGAAAAGTTAATGAATACAGAATGAAAACGAATGCCGCGAGAAATCTCAGAAAACACGGTAGCAGGGAAGGTTGTTGCTTTGTAAGGCAAGTTTTCACTTAAACTAGCAAGTTTCTGATTTAGTTTAAAAGCCGCACATTAACTTACCTTCTCCAAATAAAATCGGGATATTTTTACAATACTTTACGTCGCCAATTTTACCTTACATGTTTTTGGCCGTGACAATTAAAGCACGCTTTAGAAAACACTGGTTTTTAAATTACGTAATCTGGTTGGCGTTAGCAATACTTACCTGAGTATCCATATTGGGCTTATTGTAAGCCAAACGCAAAAGAAAAGAATGTTTGTCAGGGAAGAGTGCCAAACCAGCCTAAAAAGCATTGCTTCAGGCTTAGAATCAAGCGGATGAAAAGGATATAAGGCTAAAATTCAAAAGAAATATATTGCCCACTAGATTATGAAGCTCCGTAATGAACATTCACCAACATACTAAATGGTCAGCAATCTATACAAAGGCAATATGAATACAAATTTCAAATGCACTATTTATATTGCATTGTACGTCTATTAGATGGGGTCTCTACAGAATCTTCACAACATGGTAATTTACTAGGATACACAGCTAGAAACATGTTAAATAAAACACTTACGTAAAAGAGATTCTTCATTATGGCATTGTGATGCTTCATTAGCGTTTTTGCATAAGCGGCGCGTCCGATCTCCCGCATATTACGGTCGGAAGATGTGGGTAGTTCAACCATCACCTCAATTACCAATTCTATTGCTCGTGTTAGCCATAAGAGACCAATAGACCCCGAATTATCATTTTTGTTGACTTTGGCTTCCTTCTCCTTGACCAACATTTCTTCAACGGTGGAGGCTTTGTATTTCCCGCATGAATTAGTTATTTTCTTGATGAATTAAAAAGGAAACATTAACTAAAGGAACCCGCATGCAATACTAAAGCATAAGTAGTAGATTGTACAAACAACATGATTTGCATAAAATTAGTAGCTAAAAATTGGACACCATGGTAAATCAGTACATTTATACCAAGGATAATAAAAAAGACCACTTCTACGGATGCTAAAAGCAGTTCGGGAAACTAGAAAAGGCCCAAGCGGTGGAACCCAAAAGTTATTAGTTGGACTAGTTTGACCAAATTCGATTACAGAAACCAACCTTTATGTTTCCCCCAACGTCATTTTTAATCAGATACAAAGCTTTACCTTGGAGCTCTGGGAAGATTATCACATTATATTAGAGGAATTACCGCAAAATGCAACGATATTGCTTGCAAACTGTGTCAATGATTCAATATTAAGAACTACTTCATCCGTCGGGTTTTTTGGGAAATTATCAAAAAAAGTTTCCGGAGCTTCGCACATTTCCCCACTTCCTCGTGATCCCAGCCTCCTTGACCTTCGGATCAAAAGTGGACTCGCCAATGTGCTTATATAAACAAACACTCATTACCTCAAAAATCGCAAGTACTGCGATACTGTTTAAAAAATTTAGGGCAGTCATGTTTCAAAAATTTTAACTTTACATTATTCATGCCATGTAAAGTAAATTTATTAACGGATTTTTTAACGCCTAGTAACAGATGCTAGGTAAATATAATCAGTTGGATTGTGTACTTTTTGTTATTTTTCATTTGATTGCCAGCTTAAAAAGTTGACTAGGAAACTGAGCCGCTGGAAGACGGTATGTATCGTGGAAGTGTGGTAATGCATATTATTTGAGCTACTTTTCTTCTCAGAGGGCGATGGGACCTCCGCTTACCACCCAAAAGGTTTGCTTAAACTATCACTTAATATCGTTATTTGATTTTTTTAAATGTATTTATTAGTGACTCAATGTGTTGCATATAATTTGAAGCGAAACTATTTGAATCGTGCAATTTGTGTTATATTGTAACTTTTCTTACAATAAAGAGTCATTTATCTGCATGCGTTTAAAGTTGCTTATTTACATTTGTTATTGGAATCTCGATGGCAGTGAATTGCATACTGCAGGTGCACTGTTGTGGTCCACATACAAAGTTGTTGCAGTTTTTAGTAAATTGAATTGCTTTTTACTACTGTAGCTACTTAATAATACTTTGAGCATGTCTGCTATGAACAAACCGGAACCTTTTGTAAACAATTTCATTAAGAACTGCAAATTTCTGTGCTGATAAGGTGAATCACACTTTTAGGATTTAGAACATGTAAATTCCTTGGTGAGTGACACTCTTGATGTCTACAGCTCTTATAGTATTCATAAATGGGATTACCGATAAGTTTTACTGACTAAATCCTGTTTTCGTCCTACAAGACTTTTCTGAAGTTGAGATAAGGCCTACTAATGTACAAAATAGTTCATTCGTAATACATTGGAGAAGTGGGATAACATGGGGATGTTCAGAGTGTGAAGCCACAGGACAGGACTACAAACTGTTGGGACTAAAGTACCAGTTGGCTAAACGTATATCAAGATAGGTTTCGACTAGCTGTGTGGCCCCCTTCTCTTTTGAACAACGTCCCAACTCCGCGCTATCAATATTTTGCTCCTGCGATAGCGAGCCTGTGTTAATTGTAACGTGCCGTATAACAGGTTTACAAGTCCAACTAAATTAACATTATGAGATGATTGCTGTTTATCAGTGGCAGAAAGTGGCGCAAGACCAGGATCGCTTCCGCTGCAAAACAAAGCTCAATGGGAATAATCTACTTGACAGTCAGTTCTAAGTAGTAGACTGTGTTTTGAAACGATTACCTGAAAATCAAACTACCTGAAAAGAGGATTATCAAATTCTTAGGCTATGCCGTAAATCGTAATATTTGAGAACAACTGTAATTCGTCGAAACTTGGCGTCACTCTATAGGCAGTTAGTATGCAGAACACGTTTTTGCGGATTTGCCAAAGACAAACACTGTTTTACGCCTTCTGTAGACGATCACTATCTCCTATGAGCAGTAGATTTCTTCCTTTTTAAAAGTTTTATTTGATAGCAAGCCAATGTTTCAGAGCTCTTCTTCACCTGGATTGGGTTCGCTTATCATTGCTACCGATGCAGCTGCCGGAGTATTCCTTGAAGCTGAAATGCGCCTTACATTTGTAGAAGAATGTTACTAACACATTGAGGGGTCGGTGGGCTACAAATATGGATAGAATGGTGTCCCTGGTGGAAGTACAACCTGGGGAGGCCAAAGAGAGGTGTAGCTGATAGTACAATCGCTCGCCTTTGGACAAAAGAAACAGATACACGAGTTTCTACTTGCATAGATGAATATTTGCCACAATTTCTTCCCTTTTTTGGTATTCAAGAAATCCAGTTTTATCACCCCTTAAAACGTTAGCATTGTTTTCTTTTCCAAAAGGTTCTATTGTAAAATGCCACCGTGGTTTTTTACTCATGTTTTTTACTTCAAATAAACAAACACGATCCACCTCTTGCTGATTTGCCCACACCCACCGATTCCAAATAAAAATGTAAGTAACACAGAAAAAGATTAAGAAATCACAAGAAATATTTAGGTGTCGAGATTTAAAGACGCTCCGTACTCATTGTGGTGTGTCGACGTCAGTTTCCTCGTCTGAAAGTAGGAATAATTTTTACAAAGTTAATTTGATTCTGCCAACAAAATTGTCGCAAATGATGTTCATACATTTCAAAGATGTATCTCAAGTTTACATAACAAAGTCAGTTAATACACATGCACTCAAAAATTTCAATTATGAATTTCATGATGCAATTTATTTTGATGGTCGTTCCGCATCCCTTTTTAATAGTTTCTTCGTACAAAAGAAGCTGCTACAAACAGCTTTCATGAAAGCAATTTACTCACATATTTATGGGTTGTATGACCCCAATGCTTTAACCATGAAAGCGTCTTCTGCTTCACTTACTAAATGATCTTCAGGTATCATTAGATTGGGAAAATAAACTGAGCTCTGTTGCATCCCCAAACATAATAAATCTGCAATTCTTCCCAGATTTTGTGTCATCCCCCTTTGAGCTCATAATTTGTTTACGGCCCGTTCCTCCCTCCAAAACAGGCGACGATTCATGGGCCACAACAACCTTTTTCTTAATGCCGTGATTATCCTCCTGAGCATTATTTGCTTGGGTGATAGGTCCGTTCCATTCTTCATGAACATGGAGCTTTCGATATATGCTTTGCTGATAGAGCTTGGGGTTGATTGTCATGTAATTCTTTTCCACCTTTGCATAGCCTCCATCAGGTAGTCGGTACAGAAGACCATTGCAGGTGGATTTTACGTGACCGGTAGAGCTGGAAGAAGCATCATCAGATCCTATTTGTTGCTTTTGGACCGTTGTCTCATTAGCGACAAATTTTGAATCAGCATTGGTAGGATTAGGCGTAATTATGTAGCCGATTGGTGTGCCTTCACTGGAGGTTGCGATAATGGGCAGCTTTCTACCATTTGTAAGAGTAGAGGGAGCGAGGAGGACGGCTGAAGGAAAACCGCCATAAATATCGTCCTCACGATGCAGCATCTGAAGCGCTCCATGCATTGACGTTTCTGTAAAATTGAATAAGAAGTAACGTTTATCACTTCTGCAAATGAGAATCTTAGAAAACTCAAACACGTTCCAGATATTTTTCGAAAAAGCATCAGTGAACAATAAGCATTTACTTTGGTAATAAAAGATGGTTCAAATTTAAAATCAGTGAATAATTGTTAGCATATGAGCTCACCAAATTAAGTTTTTACGTATGGAAAAATATAACAACCACCTCTTGCAAAAGGCACTATTGATTTCAAAATGGCTCCCAGAACAGCGGTAGCATCTTTAATGAAACACGGTTTAATTATTTAAAATTCATCTAAGTTTGAATCTAGCAGTGGCAATTATCCGGAACACTGCTTCTAAAGTACCTTTTGAAAGGAAAAGTAAGATCCATAGGAATTTCCCAACGATTGTAATTTCATGTTGTCATTCAGAATTTTCGTCTTATTGAGTGTACAATAAGCGAAATTCATTAATCATAACCCTAACAAACAGTTCAATGGTTTGAGTTGTGATTTGCAAGTTCTTTCGACGCAGATGGTTAATTGGTAGAATGTTGTTCACTGAGGAAATTCCATTAGTTATAGTTTTAAAGAAAATATTAGGACCAAAAATACATGCAGAAACCTTGATCACAGTCACTGTTAACTTTCTTATCAAATCTCTTAAAACTAACAGAAACAAAACTGCACTTAGGGAAACAAAACAATTTTTGAGCTCTACTAACCGAAAGAAGAAGAAAATATTTCAGACTGCATTTTTGCTTGGCAATGACATTTAGAGCATGACGCGTTGTTATCCAGATTACAAAATTTTGGAATGTGATGGACTAAAAGCCTCACAAGCACAAAATAATTCACAAACATTAGATACAAAAAGTGCATAAGTTGTGCTGCACCAGCAAAGTTATGTATGCTTAGTAAAATAAGCAATTACACGTAGAATGTTCATTGACTAAAAGTTGCAAGGTTGTCATCAGTAATAATCCCTTAGTGGTAATTAGTTAAACTATTGGAAAAAGTCTAACTACCAGAATTTTACTGCGGACTGTTTAACTGTTTTTAAGTATAAAATTGTAGCTAGAACATTTTTTTCCAAAAAAGATGAACCCATCTTCACGCAGCCACTTGACGGTAAAAGCAGTCAGTCCATGATACTACTAGCCTATTTGACAACTAGAAAGTACCATTTATGAGAATGGCATCGTCTTTTTGGAAAACGTGACCAAATGTTAATTTACATGACGCTGTAGAAATAATGTATAGAGTATACTAAAAGTCTTAGAAGACATTGAAAGAGGTTGCGAAGCCCAAATTTAACAATGTTTTAATTAGGATCTTTTACAATAAATGCCTAAAATGCATATCATTATGTGGAAAGTAAGTAGTATGGCAAACCGCGAAATACTGCCTATTTAAAGGATACCCAAATACTTTTATGAGGCCATTTTTTGGAGTTTTTTGACTTATTGAAATTAGCTGAATGCGCTTGTTTGTTTTAAATAGTAATTACCTCAGCGTCAGTCTTTGCCGCCTACCGCAGCGAACTTGGATTACAGAAAGTCATGCTTTTCTGATTGTGGGCAGAGTTTATTGAGAAAAGGCTTGCCAACCGAAAAACATGCGCAGATTAAATTTAGTGCAAACATAGTGTAAAATTACTCTATTTTAGCAGATTTTAGTGAAGTTTACTTTTTCATTTTGCTATATTGATAAATGCCTAGTTGCGTTTAACAGTTAGTTTTGTTTATTCCCCCATTTTGAGATCGAGGCTCTTGAATCTTTTCTATCTTCACTGTGCTTATTGCTTATTAAGCCTAGTTACCTGTCTTAAGATCAAGTGAAAGCATATTGCACAAAACACAAAGTATATTTAAATAAAAGGCATAAATAAGGGAGTTGTAAACTAAGCAGGTGATTATATCAGACTATCTAGTGGTAACATTTTGATATTTCAAATAGGGCCATCCACATAGTCATAAAAATTTAGCCATTTTAATATATGTTAATTAAAAGATGCACACTTAATTCCTTGGTCTAATTTTGCAGATACCAAAATGGGGCGTCGAAGCTTCAATTGCGTTACCGGATTATTTGTGCCAAGGCTGCAAGTTTTGTGAGATGCAGCGCCATCTACCCCAAAGTGATATGGAGCTATTTTAATGTCCTATGGCAATAAAAGTGAGAATGGAGGCTGAAGAATATTTAAGTTGCGTGCTCGAATTGTAACTCGTGTGGTTTGGCTTTATTTTGACATTTAAAAGCTAACGCTATATTAAAGTAAATTGAAGGTTTGAACGGAAGACATTTGAAACATGTGAGCACGCATTTAGCACACAAGTAAGAAAGTTTAATACACTTGTCTTTGTACTTAATTCCGTAGAATTTCTGTGGTAGCAGGAGGGTGAAGAATCTAAGCAGCCGTTTGGTTTAACGTCTTAGTTTAATACAATTGCGTCTCTATATTTCAATCCAAAATTGATGGGCAGGAATCCCTTTAAGTATGTGATGAACAGAAATGCCACAATTTTTAAGTGACATAAAATCAAATTCTGGGTACCATAGGCAACATTTTTCTCAAGCGTAAGTTTTGGCATTTTTTAAAGATTACGCAATGTCATTTTAACTACTTTTGATAATTCTGGCTAGATGTAAAAGGCGCTTCTCCGGAAAGAGTTGATACGGTGCTCTGATGATCTGTCATGGATAAGGAAACAATTTGCCAAGTGAAATTGCACACTGAAAATGCAGGAAACTATGAAATTCTCAATTTAGTTTTATTGAGTGACCAGTGAGAACGAGAGTACCACTATTATCTTTTGTTTGTGGATTAAATATCTGATGAAGTGATTCACTAACCGCGATATGTATTTAAATGCACTAAGAAGGTTCTAGAACAAGTAGTTAATTAAGTTAATGAAAATGCTAATAATTTAACGAAGAAAAAGAGGTGTAAACACTGTAGCAAAAAAAGTACAACCTAATGAGATTTGCAATCAACTCCAAACTTTATTGGACTTTTCTAACACCAAAATCAAAATAACTGTACGTTTTGTGTGAATTTAACAAGAATTGTTATACAACAATTCCTGGTCGAATATTGCAACTTTGACGAGATCCTACATAGCTAAAAAGGAATAGTCAGACGAGTGGTGGTACACAATGGGTACCGGGTTTGTATACACGCTTTTTCATACATTGTATGCTTATGCATAGATTTCACTCGATAAGTAGAAGAAACTGCCTTTTTTGAAAATCATTGGCTTTTGCATATGTATGCGTAATGATAATTAAGAACATTAAAGCTAGCTAAATCATGTACCGTGTAAGGTAGTAGTAAACAGCCAAATGCTAAAATTTGTAAATATTCTAACGATGTGTAGGTTTGGCTTCAAGTCTATGATACACACAGGAAAATAATATACGCAGCTTTTTTCAGATCCCTGGTTCAACCTATTCTGATGTAATTGCGTTAAGTAGTTAACTGTAGAAAAATAAGCTCTGTACAACTGCCTCCTGAAGGCAGTTCACCGAATGTACAACACCATCTATTGCAGGATCTTTCTGACCGAGTGACTCACCGGAGCAAGCGGGTGCCATTCACGTTAAGCTGTTTATATGAAACATGATCAATAGAAATCTGCAATATTCAAATATGTATGTAAGAATCGAGACGACACCTAAATAAAATTGTAACATACCATTATTAGAACTGTAGTGTTGATTCGGCGAGTGTTCCTCAAAGTTTGGGTTCCTTTCCGTGTTAGTGAGTATAAAGGCAGCTGTTTGTTGACTTTTTTTCTCAGTGGTTACTTCCACTCCGTTCAAACAATTTAGGAATTTCAATCGTTTTATTAGTCTTCCATCACAATTATTTCCATAGACTAAGATATCCTGTCGACGTCTGATAGGTTGCCGGCAACGTAAAAATACAATTGCTGTAATAAGTACAAACGAAATAATTAAAGCTACCACTATCATGGCTGTAATAATCAATAGATCTCGGTCTCCGACGGCACCAACTCCGTGTCTAAAAGAAAAATTGCTCGTGTGTCTACCGAGTCCTTTGAAATGAGTGAGCTGTGAAAGAGATCCGTCAGCACTCTCATTTTGAATGATATCAATTTTAAGTATGGTTGTATTACTTCGTGGTTTCTTGCCCTTATCTGAGGCCTTAAGTGCTAAAACGAATGATTTAGGTGGAAATTCTTTAGAAGTATTTAGGAAAAATGATTCCGTTTCATTCGATTCAATCATCGTAGATTTCAATTTATTAACGAGTGGTTTCGCAAGGTAGAGGGTTCCAGATGCTTTATCCAATGCGAAATATTCCTTCTCGTTGCCCTTAATTATCGAGTATTCTATTTCTCCATTCACTCCACTGTCTAAATCAACAGCTTTAAGGTGAGCTATTTCCTTTCCGACAGTTGCGTCGCTAGACATATTGACTTGCACGATGATACTATTGGAAGATTGCGGAAAAATCCACACTGGTGTATGATCATTGACATCTTGAACACGAACTACTACGTTTGCGAATGCTGACAGTGAAGGATGTCCGTAGTCAGCGGCAACCACTGTAAAACTCAGAATAGGTGTCTTCTCTCGATCTATGGGTAAAGTGCGAGTGTAAATTTCTCCGTTCGAAGTAATTGCGAATAGGCTTCCGGGACGGTATTCGTCGGTGATTTCGCTACCGAAGTGCGGCGACTGAGGATGATCGGGTTCACTTATGCTGTATTGAACGCGGGAATTCTTCGCGCCCGCATCATTGTCGTTGGCATGCACGGACCCGATCTGCAAGTCGATAGTGGAGTACCTAGAGGCTCAGGCAAGGAAACGGGAATCATGTCTTAAAATTTTTCCAAATACAATAAGTCAAACACACTTCGTTATTCAGACTTAAGTTGCTTTCTACTTCTAAGAATAGTATAATTACTGAATATATTATCGATAAGGAAGGAATTTCATCAAATTCATTAGTTTTCGGGTAAGCACTTTAACTGTGATTTCTCAATATTTATTTTACACATTTCATTATTCAGCCTCTAGTTTATGAGCCCGAAATCTCGGTATAAATCCTGAGTTTCCACCTGTTCTGAGACTTAATCTCTTTAAATATGCAGTTATTAAGTAGAGTTGAACCCAATTTAGCTTTACAAAATTTAGTGCGCTGTTGATTTAAATTTTAATGTCATTCACCCTTTGGATTGTAATTTGTGTTATGCCACATCTCTATTTGCAATTGCGACATTGCACAAGAGTCACTTATTTTAGCAGAATTTAGGCTAAAAGTTCGTTTGAAACGGGCACAAGCAAAGCTAACTGCTTAACAAGTACTCAACACTAATCGTGTGACTTCAATTTTGCAAATAAAACACGAAAACTTCTGGCTTAGCAGAGAAATATGCACTAAATTCTGTACCTTCTCTAAACGCGCGTTTTGGTATTGCTCAAGTGTTAGAGAGTTTATTTTGCTTTACATCACAGGCTTGTACGTAAATAGTTATAACATCGAAATGAGTTGCTTGGAATATTTTATATAACCTTGATTAAATCACATGGAGCAGCTTTGTTTAAGTAAGTTCTGTGTTTCTTGCAATGAATAAAAAACAATAAAAATAGATTACAAATAGCACATTTGGATTACGGTCGACAATATTTTAATTTGGGTGATGACTCTGCAATTGATGCATGCGGTGGCATATTTTAGTCTGATTTTCCACTTGTATGTGGCTTTAAACATAATTCTCATCTATTATGCTTCCATTCTCATTACCATTCTTGTGGGCCTAGGATAAATCTGCTAGTAAATACTTCTTTTTATCCATTTCAAGGTAAAGTTACCTAGCCTAATGTTTGAAGGGAATAGTTGCTCCTCGGCTCCAAAATCTTTTCGATTTAAAGTGCATATTTTACGGATACATTGAAGTTACTTTAAGTCGAATACCGCTTTAACTAATCAAAAGTCTAATCTGAGCAGAAACGCATATTTAATGCTTGATATTTTTGTAAATTGAGGAATTATTTCCTTCTCGAATTTAGGCTTGAGAAAGTGCTTGTGTTTTCAACCCGTCAGGATCTCCGAGACATTCCCAAAGGGGGCAGATTAGACATGGCGCCACAAGCTAATCTAGGCTAACCAACGAATGTTTAGATTTATTTCCCTCTCCTCCAAGAGCTAGGCAAAAAGTCACAAACTCTCCTTTTGACAGTCACCTAAACGCGTAAAAGCATTTAAACTATGGCTTTACATCCGACGAAAATTTATTAAGTCTAAGACTTCATAAATAGTGTTATGGAAATAATTGCTTTAACATAAAACAGTTGTAAAATTAAGCATAACATTCTCGAAATAACCATAGTTTAAATCAGTAAACACTAAGCTTTGGATTTTACACAAGCGATTACCACCCTAACGGAGTGATGTGCGTGTGCTGTCCATAAGTGCAGTTTAAGAACAATTCGGAAAACGAGTTTAAAATGCACCGTTTTATGGGAAGTGAATGAAATGCATCATTCCTCTTGAACGTCTCGTAGTGTTCTTAGGTGAAGTTAGGGCACAAGTTAGTAGTATGTACTAATGCCTATTAAAGATACGGAGTCAAAGGTCTTAAAACCTTCATGGAAGTACGGCGATCTCGTCTAATCACATACAAATGAGTTGTGGAACAATATTTATTTGCGTGTTCGAGTGAAACTATTTGTTTTTATTGGTATTTGTATTTCAAAAGTGACAGTACATTCAGTCATAAAATGCAAAACTCCCAGAAACCAGTTCTTCTAAGTAGAGATACTTATAAATTCATGTATGCTCACGCAATATATACTTCTATTTATTGCACTTTTAATAGTAAAAGGCGAGCTATCATTCACTGACTATGATAAGAGTGACGTGGATTCATGTTTATCATAAAGTAAGGGTTGGTCTCTGTAAATCTTAATGAGGAAAGTCAAATATTACTTTCGAATCCCTACCTTAGTGGCTATCACATGTCTCTGACTATATTATGATGCTTTTGATAAGTACTACGCTGGAATCCCATAGTTTGTTTCGATTAAGCAGTTTGCGCTAGCAGTAAATCTAAATTATTTGCTCACTGAAGAATGTAAATTGTTGCAACTAATGATTAGTAATAAGATTACGTGGATCCACAAATAAGATTGGGAGAAAATGAGTTTAACCTCTAACTAAAGGTCTGAAATTTTGGTAAAGTTGATCGTACACTAACTGATCAGTCTGCAAGTAGGTTGGTTTTCTTCACGCGGTGACTTTTTATCAGAGTGTACGATAGGATAAGAGTATACTTTGATAAATAGTGGTGGCTAATACCTTACAGTCCATGTAAACGTAACAATATTTTAGGAAAACATCGAAATTTCAAGAAGCTTTTGACGTCCAAACTGCTTTTGGTAAATAATTACGTGTTGTAAAACAACCAACAAAAGTGATCATATTAAACACTTCCCACAAGAGAGCTTTGATTTTACATCTGCCAAATGAGCCTGGGCCGCACTCCAATTTGCTAATGCATTCATAGTCGCAGGATGCAATCTTTATAGCGTTCGACGCTCGTAGCAAAAATAAGCATATATTTACCTGAATCGCGTTTCAGTAAAACCATTTGCGTTAGTCAAGATTTTGACTTGTATTAGCTCATGACCATTGCCAATGTGTTAAAACACCCCTTCCAAAGTTTATCTTGAGAGGAAATATATGGTGGATTATCGTCAACATCGTTTGCATGCACAAGCTTTAAAATCTTCCCACGCTGCCACCTAAACAAAGCCGCGACCTATTTTATTGGGAGTATACATCTACTTCTAGCTGAACTATTACAACGGAATTAATTTCATGCCAGGTCTTTATATTATCAGCAAGAAGGAGATATTTTCCAACTTGTCGTTGTGGTTTTTCCCCAGTTTGATTGACTGAGCAATTTTACCTTTTTAAAGTTGCTCATTCGTGCGAATAAAGTCAGTGCAAAATAACGCGGCAGTCCGCAGAATTATATCAGTTTGTGGAAATGCATATTTGATCTGTTAATATAATGTTGCACTGGAAGATTTTATTCCAAAACATTTGTACGTAAAGTCTTTACAGTCGCATAAAAGTTTAGATATGCCTCTGCAGTCAAAATATTACCTACTTTAGGACGCATATTATCAAGAATATATTGAAACCCTTTTTCACTCTTGGCTAAGGTTAATTTGTTCGTACGTAGATAAGTCAGGGTGGGATTACAGTTTGGAACATTTAAATCACCTGCTTCAAAGATGAGTCGTAAAACAAACATGGCCATTGGCAAGTGCTTCTGGATGATTGCAAGGCATAATCACTTCTCATAAATTATCAATGCCATAATAAACGTACTGATTGTTGCGGTCGTTGTCCCTCCTTCACTACGAATTCATAATTGCTTTGATCAAATTCCGGGACACAATCATTTATGTCGTCAATCGTGATTATAACGGTGGTGGAGGCAGAGTGAATTGGGTTGCACGATTTCCCGTTTTCACTTTTATTTGCCCCACCTCCCGCACAGTCCATGGCCACCACAGTAAAATTGATTGATTCCATTTTTTCTCTGTCAAATATTGCAGCTGTGTATATTTGACCTGACACTGGATCTAGTTTAATTAACTCTTGCAAATCATTTTTCTCCTTGATTAAATACCGCACCGCGCCATTTAGACCGGTATCCGCGTCTGTGGCTTTGACTTTACCAATTATTGTATTGACTGGGAGATTTTCCGAAATTTTTAAATGGTAACGAGATTGAGTGAAAACTGGGGGAGAGTCGTTTAAATCGTCAAGGTGGATAACAACATGTACGCCCCTTGAGAGCACTGGCTGCCCTGAATCATGGCAAGCTATAGTCACAGTATGTGCGTTTTTTGCTTCCCTGTCCAGACGCCGCGATGTGACAAGCATATACTGATAACGTGCACCGGGAAAAAGTGGCTGGACCACGAAGAATGGGTGGGCTGTTACGCAGTGGGCATCACTATAACTTGAGCCACCTTTCTTATCCCTCCAGCGTTCATCAGCATCTTCAATGTTGATTGTTGCAATCATTGTTCCAACTGCGGCATCTTCGGGCAAAAGTAAGTCATTTGTATTGCACCATCGGGGTAAATGAGAATGGACTGTTATGTTGGGGGCGTTATCATTTACATTCTTCAATTGAATACGGAGATCGGTCTGAGCAAAGTGCACACCATCTGTCACTTTAACTGGAATAATATATCCTACGTCCCATCCTTTGCGAGATTGCACAGTATAAATGGAAGTGAGCGATCTTACTTCAGGAAGTAAGGGAGCCACTTCATAATCCAAATCTTGAACCACCGTGATCGCACCTGTTTTTTCACAAATGGAAAACAACCGCATCACTTCTCCACTTGCCGTAGAAGCATAGCTGTAGATTAACCGAGAAGCATCTGAAGGATCATTGTCTTTAGCCGTCATTGCAAAAATTTGTGTCCCAGGGGCAACGTCTTCTGAGATCTCGATGGAAGGATGCGACTCTGGAAAGAATGGTGCCTGATCATTTATATCGGTGACTTTTACGATGATATTCAGCGTGCCTGTTCTGTCTCCAAATGCTGCGCCCTTGTTGCTTCCATCGATGGCAATCAGTAGTAAACGGTAGGAGTCTCGGCGTTCTCGGTCCAGATCACAGTTCACTTTTAACTGTAGATTTAATCTTTGCATTTCTCCGTAGGCGTGGTCCGTCGATGCGATAGAAAGTATGAACAAATCATCAATACTACAAGATTCGTAGTTTAAAGAATCGCTACTAACTTCCACCTGGGGAAGCAGTTCATATCTAATCGGAGCACTTTCAATACTTAAGTCTGGATCTGTTGCTTCGGGCAGTAGAATAGTCGTCCCAATTGGACTATGTTCGGGAATTTCAATTTCTAAACTATCTGGAGACCACTTTGGCGGATTATCATTTACGTCCATAATTTTAAAAGTTATATATACAAGTTCTGGTTGACTAGAGGGGTTGGGATCTCTTTGGCCTATGACCAGAAGTCGAAGCGCACATGCGAAACTTGGGTCGTTTGATTCAAATGTGTGAGTAAATGCACTTGTTGGTTCAGATGAAGAATCACAGCAAGTCCCCATTTGTTCGCATAGTGCTTCACGATCTATTCTACTTCGTACAAATAATTGCCCAGATGACTGATTCAGGCGTATATAGCGTTCTTGCCCGAGGGGTGTAAACTGCACGCCGGATGAAGTAGATATTCTGGGACTTAGTTTATCAGCAAGGCTTCCTATCAGCGTACCGATGGGCAATTCTTCATCCAAGGAAAAGCTGACGCTTATTCCGTGCTCCCCATTTACGTTGAAACCCACGGTGGTACCCACAGTCTCGAATAAGTACGCCAAAAAGATTACATTGGAAACTAGCATCTTGAGGTAAATATCCACAGCATTGTGTGTGCATTGGCGGCTAATGGGTTAGTGTTAATGTGCTAAAAAGCAGGCTTGTGAGCCGCCGGAAAGTGATTGGCTGGGAGGTCCATGCCACTGATACCGCGTGGGTGCACGCGATTCCGCGCGCAATTTCGTGTACGCTTATCAACTTAAGTCCGGTGGAGGAAAATTATGAGGTCGAAAACCCACAACCAGCGCGGAGGGATGCCGAAATGTCAGAAGGCTTTCGTGCCAAATGCAACCTGATGTGTTCCAGTACAAGTTGTGGCGCCAGACCTATTTATGTATTCTGCATCACTGATTTAATTGTTCGAGATATAAGTTGGAGCTTTCGGAAAGTGATATTAAATTATTTGCTCCAATAATACAACTGTATACTTTACAGTCCTGATCTCACAAGCACAGGCAATAAATGGGAACGCATCAGCGATGGCTACATTCATTAGCGAACTATTTAGCCATTCATTCAGCAAAGTATAGAAAAGACCAGTTTACGACTACTCTTGAAAATGCAAGTCAAAATTAACTTTAATTTTTGCAGAAATGTTTAATTTATTGGAATTTGCCAATGGTATTGCAGTTTGCCGAGTAGTTATTTGAGACTTTAATGCATCGTTTAATCACTACAAATTGTCAAAATTTGTCCCATGTAAGAGTCATTTTTTAGGGACTTCAACGTTAACTCGAGCAATTAAAGTAGTGAAATATATCAATGTTTTTAAAATTGATATATTTACACTTAACTTTGCATCTTCATAAGAATGGATCTTCATCTTTTAAAGATGTGGCTCAACAATCAACATGATATAATTTGTAAATACGCATATTGAAAGGGCTTGTCTTCCACTTCGAGATTGGAGTTTAAAACCACTGCTTTGCTATGGCCTTATAGAATGATTACAAAGATAAATGCCTGCATCGCTTTCCAATCGTTCTGGTTTAATTTAGCTTCTTCTGCTATATGCAATCTATAATTCCGAATTTCTTTTATAATTATTTAATCTAAACTTCTATCCCAAAATTTTTGTGGGGTCTTAAGAAAAAAAGTTGATTTTAAATACATGCATTAACACCTTGCAATATGACATTTAATAAATGTGAGGAGTATTATACCACCACTGATGATTGTTAGATTAAAGTGCACTGATTTGGCTCCGGTAGGTATTTTTCCTTCTTATCGTTCATTCTAATGATAGCACCAAGTAGTATGCAAACTGCGAAAACAGCACACGGGCGGATACTTTTTGTCAAAATTTTATCGAATGGAACACCAGAGGGTGTTATCAATTTACTTTTGTTTTCCCAATACTTATGTTGTTCATCGTTGAAGGGAGGGACAAATAGCAATCATTTTGAGAAACCGCCATAAACTTTAGGAATTTAAAAACCCCCATGCTCTAATGCAAGACTGTGACCATATCTTAATGACATCGACGACATCCCGTTACATCTCAGGGTTCCACAATTTATTTGAATCTCGGATATATATTGATATTATCCAACTATTGCTGCATCAAAACCACTTTTCTAATAAATGAAATATCAAAGTCCAATAAAAGCAACTGAAATGCTAGAATTAAAGATGGTACGGCGGAGGAGAAAGGCAAGTTCGTTTCCATGCCAAAGTTCTCGTCGCAAACACTTATTGGGAAATACAATCACGTTCTTCTTTATCCTTAAGGACTGATATGGACTGACTTTATCTGAATAGATGTCAATGAGCACACCATTGAAAAGGAACAGTGGACACAATTATCTTTTTCGTGAAAATAATTCATCAAAAATACCAAAATAAAATATTGATTCGCGAGGGCACACATGCGCATGTGAACAAGTGTGTAGCTTAACATTTTAATTCACATGGCGCTTTACACAACGCATGCATTAATTTGGCATCAGTGAATTTGGAAAACTCGCTTACTTTGACAGTTTTATCAATGGAAATGAAGTCATACACAAAAAATGCATTCAACTCTTGGTTGCGATTTCAGACTGGTATTCGTACTTGTGGCGGCGTTCGCTCAGCCAAAAGTTTGATGTAATTTGACTCTCTGTCACCTAAAAAGTGTGTTCAAACAAACAAGTATCGCACATTTCCTTGCACAAGTTGGGCTTGTTCCACTTTTGAGTCACACATGCAAAGTTTGAATGAAACAACTTAAGGATAGCCTGCTGCATTTATTCAGCATGACTCAGGATAAATTATTCATTTTTAACTAATATGCGATTCATATAAGTGAAGCTGTCGGCCTTTAAGTAAGGCGTTACACCTTAATCACTTTAGTTTATTTATTTATTCTACCGTTACATTAAAATGATAACGAAAAGACATTTATCAAACCAGATTTTTGCAACCAATGATACTTTGTATCAGTTATTTGCTTATATTGGAGAAGAATGTGAAAAAATGAAAACTAACATGCATACATATAAATAAAAAAAACCACCTTGTGATTCGCTTAATATGCTAAGGCGTTAAAGTAAACACGGGAACCTATAAACAACAAAGCGTGTTAAAACTCGTCTTTATAACGTTGACGCTCCGTGGTCCGTTTAAGTATTTAGTTGAATTTCTTAGTGTCAGCCATTTCTCTAGGAAATTCATTTAACTACTTGCTAATGCCACGAAATTCACACTTGAATACAAGGTCTTGGCGTAATTGAGTTATTTTAATTATAACCAACGGAATTCTGCCATGCACAATGCCTACCTCTTAAAACATGCTATTTGTTGCCTTGAAAAAAAACAGAAATGTTACCTGTTAATCATACAAGGTGAACCTCAGTCACTGGCTGATTCATAATCCATGTGGGGGAGAATCTTTGGACCTGAAGAAGCACAAAATTAACAAAGAAGATTTTTGAATTGTGAAGTATTTAATATCACACCTTTGATAAACTTAGACCCTCTAAAACGAAATCCATTATAATCTGGAGATTACTGGAAGCTATTAAATTTAGTCTGACAGAGGACTTTGCATTGGTATGATAAAGGCCCTTTAAATCCGGTCTAAAATCCACAGATTTTGCTTCTTTTTTGCAAGTGAACAATATTTTCTCTGATAGTAGGAGTGCCAACTGTTATTTTAATTTTTTTTTTAAATTGATAGCGGGTAAATCCGCGTGATGCTTAAGTGAAATGGTAAGTGACAAAACACTTGTGAAATCGACAGAAATCGCTTAGAATTTCTCCCTAGCGAGCAGGCCTATGGGTAATGAATTTTGACTTGCTTTGCCTATAAACATTTAATTTAATTCTTGCCAAAAATAACCGGTCGATCGAAGTTAACTAATGGAAACCTTAATTTGCAATTTTCAATTTAACACAAACTGGACTACACCTCAAGCGAGATTTTCTGTTTTCTTCACTACTTTTCCAATCTTTAGTAAGACCAGCCTCTTATTGTCAAACGTTTCTCGGGATACAAAATTCAATTTTTAAGCTGTTTGTGTCCGGTTGAGTTGATTTTATCACTATCTTTCATGCCTTCCTTTCAACTTTTGATTCGTGCGCGTATGTGCGTAGGTCGACATTTTGTGCAATGTTTGCGGGAAGTGAATAATTGATGTAGGGGAAGATCTTAAACCATCCTACAGCTCCAGCAAACCCCTCAATATATCGTGCACGCTTGGGAAATCACAATTTTCCCATTCTTCTTCTTCTTCAGCAGGTGGGATAAATAATTCACAGCCACATACACATATAGTTGGGAGATGTCTTTTTGTTTTAATTGTCCTCGTTCCACTCATTATAGACCGGAAAACAGGTGAACGCGAAATTATGAAAGGGTCCTCACTCTACTTTTTCCCAGTAGAAAGTAATTAGATGCTCACTACAGACTGCCTAGCTTTGTAGTTAATTTTATAAAAGAAAGTGTATTTTCCAAAATAGGTGAATGGAGGCAGAGGAAGAAATCAAACTCGTTAATCATCGTATCAATTTTATTTGATGAAATAAAGAGATCCGCTTAGTGCGTCATCATTGAAATTTAAATGAATGAAATAAATATAAATACAAACCCTGGTGAGCAAATTAAACACAAACTGTGGTTTCAAGCTTACCAGGAAAGAAGAGTAGAGTTATTTGAACTGTTAACGAATACTTCGAAATGATTATTGGCCAGGACTTGGGGGAACTCGAATTTATACATTAATATTGTCAAACTGCTTTGCTTCACAAAAAGCATTTATGCAATTAAACGACATTGCACCCAGAACTTGTAGTAACTTAGAAATCAGTGTACTAGAGTGTGTTGAGTCAGCAACTGCTCTTAGCAATAGATGACTTGAAAGAAAATCTGAGATAGATTACTTTGTAAGATCTTTGATATAGAATTGTGCGCTCTACAGCAAAGTCCTGATCAAACTGTAGCCAAGTGGCTAGCGAATAGTAAAAACCGGAGAGACAAGTAAAATTCTGATTGAAAGTGAAGCATTGACCTTGGTTTTTTTATGCTTAGCCATTCTGCATTCAATGACAAATACAAGAAATGCAAAAAATATTGTCCTTATCGGACTAGGAATCTCCTTTTCCCTACACCTTTACACTAAAACGAAATGTTTACTAAGTTAACTCATCTGACCATAATAATTCTTGATTTCACTTAGTTAGAGAAATTAGTCAAGTTAGTTAAAAAACCCATTGTTACTTTACTAATAATTTATTCAGCTCACCAATTTATTTATCTTTAAAATTTCAGCACAGGTTAGCATAAAGGGTGAAATTAATCACTCGCAAATGTGTAACTCCAATGACTCTATTTAACTTAGCATCATTTATAGCAGGACCCCATTGGATTATTCAAAAATAAATAAAATAAAACTAGGCCATCATTCATACATGCCAGGAGTAAATTTACATGAACACGAACATGTTGCCAGACCACAAAATATTTGACAGACAAAGCGATTGATCTAGCTGCTATCATGGACTAGTATTTTTGCAATTTTCGATGCTCGATTAATATGGTAATGTT